AATTTTGCCGTCTGATCAGGTGCAGACAATCAAGGGCTAACTATCAGACAGCATTTCAAAGTTTTCTACAGTTACAGGACGAAGACACTTTCTGAACAATGACATATGTTTTTATTAGAAAATAAAGTCAGAATGCAGTTCAGTTCATGTTTTTGGCATAACTAGTTATGCCAAAAACATGATGGACTGAACTGCATTCTGACTTTATTTTAATAAAAACATATGTATTGTTCAGAAAGGTCATTGTCCTGTAACTGTAAAAACTTTGAAATGCTGTCTATAGTTAGCCCTTGAGTTGTCTGCACCTGATCAGACGGCAAATTTCCATTCTGATCAGTGCAGACAACTCAAGGCTAACTATAACAGCATTTCAAAGTTTTACAGTTACAGGACAATGACCTTTCTGAACAATACATATGTTTTTATTAGAAATAAAGTCAGATGCAGTTCAGTCCATCATGTTTTGGGCATAAACTCATATACAACAGCCTCCTGTTTGGTCATTCAATACTATTATATCGTGTCTATTTCAACAGGAATTACTTAAAAGCCACAGGTGGGTCAAGAAAGACAAGGTTGCAAGTGAAGAACTACTTATTTGCAAATTCAATTCAATTTTATTTTTATCTCAGGACACTTTTCAATAGAGAGGTCAGACCGAACTCCTTTTAACATTTACAGAGACCCGGTACCGATGGGGGCAAGCACTTAAATATGGTTTATTATCTCCATGAAATTGAAAAATTCCTGTAATTAGAACAAACCTGATATGGCCTCATTCACTCACTCGATTCATTTCACAACTCTTAATAATTTCTGACAATATTGACAAGACTGAAGATTTAGCCTGTTTATCATGCTTTTGTGGGTTTCTTTTTTTTAGTCTTTTCAGCAGATAAAAATAATCTTTTGCAGAAGATTGCTTTGATTTCCCAGGTCTGCTCAGGGGCCTTGGGGACAAGGCCTCAGCAGAGCTGGGGGGGCGGGGGGGAGGAGAACAAGATTAAAAGCTGGGTGTCTGCACATGATGGAGCTGATGGGTGACAGCCACATCTCCCTGCATACAGTACGCATGCTGGCACACGCGCCCCGCACACACACACACACACACGCACGCCGCAGACCTTTTGGGTGCACCGATGCGTTAGCCAGCCTTTCTGACATAGGTTGATTAGCGGTGTGTTTTGTAGTGTAGCGCGCAGTCCGTCATTACACTGTCATGCGCGGAGTGCGTACACGCACACACCAACACACACACAACACACACACACACACAACACACACACACACACACACACACACACACACCAGAAAGGCTAGTGAAAGTTATCAATTATGCCATTTTCTCCGTAGTCTAATGTCATTCTAATCCATTCTATGCTGTGCATGTGTGTGTCTGCATGTGTGCCCAAAGCCTGCCAGGTAAGCACCAACTACCCTAGACAGCTCACTGGCACTCTTTCCCTCCTTGGGTGTGTCACAGCCAGAATGTACAACTGACACCACACATAGCACTTGACAGTATATCTCAGGGTTACAAACCACTCTTTACATATACAGCTTCTGTGGACTCTCTACCTGACACCCACACACACACACACACACACACACACACACAACACACACAACACCACAACACACACAGCGGCACCGAAAGGGAAAAAAATCCCTCCAAAAATTGACCTTAAAGTTCATCTGCATTTCTTTTTTCTCACTCTCTCTGGTTTCCTCACAGTCATTGGCAGCGTGCCACAGATATTTCCTGCGCTGTGTACACATAGCAACAAGGTTTGGAAAAAAAAAAAGGGGGAAAAAAAT